AGCTCTCGCTGTGTGTGCCAGGCGCCGCAAGAGCTCCGTACGCCGGCCGGCAGAGGCCTGTCCGGCAGTGGCCGGCAGCAGACTGGCGGCGTCGGAGATCCCCAGCAGCAGACTGGCAGCCGGGGCCCCGTGCGCCGGAGCTCCACGGCAGCAGACTGGCAGCCGGGGCCCCAGGCGCCGGAACTCCACGACAGCGGACTGGAGGCGCTGGAGCTCCACGGCGACAGACTGGCAGCCGAAGCTCCACGGCGCCAGACTGGCAGTCAGAGCTCCCCGGCAGCAGACTGGCATCCGGAGCTCCACGGCAGAAGACTGGCAGCCGGAATTCCACAGCAGCAGACTAGCAGCCGGAGCTCCACGGCAGCAGCCTGGCAACTGGAGCCCCACGGCAGCAGACTGGCAGCCGGAGCTCCACGGCAGTGGACTGGAGGCGCTGGAGCTCCATGGCGCCAGACCGGCAGCCGAAGCTCCAAGGCGCCAGGCTGGCAGCCAGAGCTCCCCGGCAGCAGACTGGCAATGCTGAAGCTCCATGGCGCCAGACCGGCAGCCGAAGCTCCACGGCGGCAGACTGGCGGCGCCGGAGCTCCACGGTAGCAGACTGACAGCCGGAGCTCCACGGCAGCAGACTGGCGGCACCGGAGCTCCACGGCGGCAGACTGGCAGCCGGAGCTCCACGGCAGTGAACTGGAGGCGCTGGAGCTCCATGGCGCCAGACCGGCAGCCGAAGCTCCACGGCGGCAGACTGGCGGCGCCGGAGCTCCACGGCGGCAGACTGGCGGCGTAGGAGCTCCACGGCGGCAGACTGGCGGCGTAGGAGCTCCACGGCAGCAGAGCTTCAGCTGGCAGCATACCGGCGGCGCGGCTGCACCGACGGAGATCCACGGCAGCGGAGCCGCGGCCGGCGGCAGCGCCGTCAGTCGGCGCCACTGGCGGCGGCGGCGGGAACCGCCAGCTGCTGCCGACAGCCGGGCATTATGCTCGCCAGAACACGACACGGGCCCGACACGCTATCCGCCGCCGGCGCGCCGCCGACCAACACCGACAGCGTGCGGCACAGTGTCGCTGCTCTTCTCTCCGTCTTCTCAGGGAGGACGGTCGCGGTGCCGCTCCCTGGACTCATCCTCTCAGGGAGGATCGCCGCGGTGCCACTCCGTCCCCTCAGGGACGACCGCCGCGGTGCCGCTCCCTGGACTCCGTCCCCTCAGGGAAGACCGCCGCGGTGCCGCTCCCTGGACTCATCCTCTCAGGGAGGACCGTCCCGGTGTCGCTCCCTGGACTCATCCTCTCAGGGAGGATCGCCGCGGTGCCACTCCGTCCTCTCAGGGAGGACCGTCCCGGTGTCGCTCCCTGGACTCATCCTCTCAGGGAGGACCGCCGCGGTGCCGCTCCCTGGACTCATCCTCTCAGGGAGGATCGCCGCGGTGCCATTCCGTCCTCTCAGGGAGGACCGTCCCGGTGCCGCTCCCTGGACTCATCCTCTCAGGGAGGATCGCCGCGGTGCCACTCCGTCCTCTCAGGGAGGACCGTCCCGGTGCCGCTCCCTGGACTCATCCTCTCAGGGAGGATCGCCGCGGTGCCACTCCGCCCCCTCAGGGCGGACCGTCCTGGTGCCGCCCCCTGGACTCCGTCCCCTCAGTGCACACGGCGCTGGCCGGGGAGGGCCATCACTGTCTGCGGTCTGCATTAGTCCGCACAGACGGCGGCGCCAGGCTCTGGAGCCGCGCTTCCCGGCAGCCGGGGCGATAACCGCGCCACGGGTGTGATGGCCATCAGAGTGGAATCGGGTGGGCCTGAATAAGCAAGCCGCCGCTGGGTGGGTTCCAGGGGCGTTTCCATTTCGCGACTGGGCCAGCCGCCTCGCTTCCGGGGAGTGGCGGCACACCAGGGTCGCCAATACTTGGAAATATATCGCCGCTCCGTGACCGGCGACCGCTCGAATTCCTTGCGAACGCCATGGATGATGATGGTGATTGGAGCTTTAGAGCGTGCTCGAACACCATGGAAAGGATGGAGTCTGGGATGACCTACGTTGGAAAAAGCTTGCTTTGTTTGTTTGTCGGGACGTTATGGAGCGACGCCGGATGGCATCAGTTGAAGGCCCGACCACGTTACACCGCTTTTACACAAACTGGCCTTCCAGGCGCAATGATCTTGCTGGATTAGAGCTGATATAATTGCACGTTTATCAAGAGTGAAAGCGTGTCAGCTCCTGGTTTTCGGGAACTTAGAGTCCTTGTGCTGAGTTGCGACCTTCAGGGTATCACGAGGTGCCCGTAAAACACGTTATACTACAAACATTGGTTACTATATTAACATCACTCGACGCTTCAAGCTGGGCTTATGCCACGAGTCAAATTCTCACTGAAGAGCATAAGCGCAACTTGAAACGCTGAGTACGGTCAATATGCCAACATTGCACCACAACATCGTTTAACCAGTACCCCCCGGTAAATTGAAGGTCACTGAGTCAGCGTGCTTAACTTTAAATAAGTTTGAGTTATCATGCCATATGATGTTGTATTACTAATGGGGTTAGCTTTGGTAAATGAAGGTGTTTTATGAATGCGTGATGACACTTCTTCAATGTATACAGCCCTGAACATGTTGTCATGATGTATCATATCACCCCAACGTCACCCCAACGTCACCCCAATATATATCACCCCAACGTCAGTTAACTCAATGATGTCCTCTTGGCGCATACGCCCAAGCCAAATACGCACTCTAGTATTCATCCGATATTCCATCGTATTTGCCACATTTCTTTGATGGCATTAGGCGGGGTTTAACGACTCCCCTAAACGTTTTCAGCACTAGGGAGCCAATCTGGAAAGTTCATTACTAATGAACTCACATGTGGTAACTATCAGCTGCTGCACTGTCAGTCGGTCTGATCCGATGGGTCCCCATTTTTCGAAACTTACCATAGATTTCGTGACTTCTTTTAATTAGTTCCGGCTCTCGCTATTGCGTTATGTTGTTCATCAGTTTGTAAGGGCATAGACCCCAATTTTTCGAAATTTCGCCTAAATTTTGTAACCACAATGACACCCAAACTGATTGCCATTTGGATTGAATAGCATGTCATAGATAAATCATGGCTTCTCTCACGGTCCGTGCGTTTAACGCGCTGACAGATCCTATACCACCTCAGGCCCAATCGTGACGAAAAATTTGAGAACCGTTGTCCCCACACATGCTTAGATGCTGCTCTTTCCTTTGGCAGGGAACACGGTAGGTTGTAGATGTAGAGCACCTATAGAATGCATCACACGCTTGCATGCGTCTCATTTCTCTAGCACTGGCAGGAAATGCGGCACACCATAGACGTGGAGCACCTACAACATACATAACGTATTCTTACACATGTGCTTGGAGCCGCCTGTCTCCAACGGCACGTCAGGCCAATGCGTCAAATGGTTCGTCCGCATCAACACATCACGCATGCATGCATGAACCAGCGCATACAATGCGGTTATACTCTGTGGGGCAGTTTATGTGGACGTTGCACGGCCTGCGGCTTACAAGGCATCCACCGCGCGTAGCCGCTGAATTAAAATAGGCGGAACCAGGACGACCCGAAGATTGGCCTGCCTCCTAAAAGTGAATGGCATACAGTGGAAGTTGTGAACGAAATGGAGACCCCGGTCATCTCGTATAAGCCAGAAACGGCTTGTCTTGAGCGTGTGATCGTGAGACGTTATTTCGAGTTGTCGCAAGATGACCCGGGGACCGGGGATTAAGAGGACTTGCTGCGAGATCGCGACACTAACGGGGCCCCATCAGATGCAGCCTTTAAGAACAGACAGGTTTGGACCGTTTTTTACAAGAGGTCATTTTGTAAGGTGAGTGTGTCATGACCTAGGATGACTTAGCTAACCTTTCCATTATACCACCGTGGCTTGATAGCATTAATGAGAACCTTTAAAAACTATATAACTTCAAAGAAGCATGCGTGAACATGAAGCAAGCCCTAACGCCACGGCCCCTCAATTGTTGATCAACGTTTTGACGCCACTTTTGTATAGCGTGGGAATAGATGGCGTCACATTTTCGAAGCAATACGTCTTGAATATTTCTTGTCAGGAAGCGATCGATTCTGAACTCTGGCTTCACTCGTTAAGAAGTCATGAAAAAAACACTGAATGGGTATGGAGTGGGTGATCGAGTCAACGAAGCCAGTGGAGGGGTACAAATTCATTCACATACGTTTCACCATACAGTGCAACCACCATAATCCGGCTGTCTCGGTTGAAACCTCGTACAAAATGGGCAATATACCGTTGCACAGAAGAAGCACATGATAAGTTCATGGACGATTCTGACATGCCAAAGGAACGGATATGTCATCCAATTCAAGTACACGTGGGAACGTTATCGCAGCTCCACGACCCATGGATGCCATTCCCGATTATCCGCACCAAGACACGGGTCACAGAGTCGGCGGCCATTTTTCAGTGGGGCATCATCAGAGACCATGCGATGCGCACGGGAGCAGCTGTCGCCTCCCACAGTCTGACGGCGTCCCCTGAGAACAAACACGGTCGGCGGGCGCGCCGCGCCACGCCACCTGGATGCAGGTCACGTCCGTTGACGGGACGTCTCTCGGCGGGTCGGATGGCGGCCCCGGCTATCCGCCGCCGTGCCGCCGCCAACCAATCAGCTCACCCACATCAAGTGGCCGCGGCACGGCGCATTCCAAGCCGGCCGCAGCGAGCCCTCCACTCCAGCGGCGCACCGCACGGCGCGCGCCAGCAACTGGTGGACACGCTGCGGGCACCGGGAGCATGCTCCGGGGCCCGGCCGACCGACGCTGCGTGTTCGAGTAACCCTGAGCCCGGCGCGTGCACTCGCCGCGCCGAGCACGTGACCGGAGCGGCGTTCGTGGCGCTGGCCGGGCCGCCGCGGCGTCGGCCGTCGGTGGCCGGGCGGCCTCGTCGGCGTCGACGTTAGACGCCGCTCGGACGGGGCCGGCGGCGGTTGTGTCTCGGACGCGGCCGGGTGAAGTCGCCGCCGCCTGGAGCCCAGCCGACCTCAGGTATGTCAGGCGCAGAGCTAGCGGCCGACGTCACGACGTTCTTGACGTCTGGCCGAACTGTGATACAGACAGGCGTCGTGTGTCGGTGTTGCGATTTTAGTATCCGTGACCGTGGCACATCTCCTGGCCCTATGTATGTCCCAGCAAGGTGTTCTAACTTTACTCTTCCGATGAATGCTTGGTTACAAGCTGTCATCGAAGTAATGAGTTTGTCTTTTTGTGCTCATGCACGTAATTTGGTGCCCCTCCGTCGTTTGATGCTACTACAGGGTAGAGAGGGAGAGGGGCGTCCCTCACACCCTCCCATCCGCATATATACGTGCCAATATTGGCGGTTTTTATTTTAAAAAAATGTGACGGTTAGATGAGTTGCCCTTCTAACGAGACGTATTGTCCTTGCCATTATTATGTAAGCTTCTGTTTGTAGACATTGGAAACGAAAAGGGCATGAACTACAGCGCATCATATTTTTGCACTTATTGAACTTACAATTTATTAATCTATTGGCGCTGCACATTCCAGACTGACTACGGAAATGTGCCGACCAAAAAATCAAGGAAATCTATCGAGAGCGGTCGATCATTGTCGTATGAAGTTTGTTTACAGCGATGCAGTTGTGACCGGGCTCTCTGCGCCGTGTAAACCGATTACGTAACTCGTTATTATGGCATGCTTCTTGTTCCGTTTGCATCGAACATGTACGCTTTCACGTGGGTATCGCGGTCGTAGGTTTCAGCTGATAGCTTATTGATTCATTGCTAGCTGCTTACGTCTTTAAGAGCCGATCGTAGGTACAGTTGCAGTTTTGCGCCTCAGTACAATTAGGGACAGAGGCATGCGCGCACATGCCCATGGTTTGTAAAACAGGCGGGTTGCATGATTTTTTTTTTTGTTGTCACAGATGTTTGAAAGCTGTACTCGTAATGGTCAGTCATGCATCGATAAAAGCAGTTGTCACGGCATGGCTCATAAGGCTGGTTACAACACTTACATTATTATGGTAAACTATAAGATGAAAGAAGATTCTCAGTGCGTGCTTTCAACGAGCTTGCAATGTGCGCCCGTTGAAGAGCTTCGGAATACCACTTCTCGAAAAGGCGAGGTACCCATAACAGGCGCCGAAAGACAAGCACAACACAGAACAGAATGGACACGGACGAACAAAAACAACAGTCGATGCGAGCCCGGTGGCCACACAGGCTGTGAATCTTGGTTGAATGGTGAGGTGCAGTAGAGTGTTACGTCGCTTTACAAGTGTGGGGAACCATTTAGGGACAACGGACAGCTTTTATGCATGCTTTCTTGGACGACGATGGGGATATCACCAACAAGGAGAAAACAATCAAAACAAACTTAAAACCGGGTATAAACCGGGCAAACCGGGCAACTGGGATTTTTTTCTTTTGAGCTCTAGATGGCTGAAAAAGGTTCATATCAGCGATTCGGTCGTCTCCACGGCGAATATCGTCTCAAATGATCTGCTTGCCCGATTAGGAACACGAACTTTTGCCAATAAAGCATGGTGGTGTGTGGTTGAACAAGTGGCCCACTGTTTTAAAGCAATTGCTATCACTAAGCATGAAGAATACTCTGATGCCTAGACAAATGCAGTTGATGCGTCCTATTTCGAAGTTTGAAGGTCTCCACGATCCCAAGGTTCTAAGCCATTTCCATCTGCAGGGGGTTACTAAAAGGATGAGGACTGCTGTTGAATAGAACATAGGTTTTCCGATTATCGAGAAGATAAAATGAAAACACCGAAGCGCAAACAGCGAAAGGCTGGCAGGCTAAAAGCTGGCGACGACAAATACCGAAAGATACAAATCGGTCGCGCGGTTGAAATAATGAATGCTGATGTTTATCATTTATTCTTGTGACTATTGTCTACCGATGAGATGCTATTAAATACAGCTCAAGAATTGAAAAGTAATACAAAGCGACTAGTGATAAGCTGATTGCAACAAGCATGATGCGCATGCTTGGTGGTACAGTAATGAACCAGGCCCACCCATGATACCATGTGCTGTGGATCATGAGATATCGTACCACAGTTATCTCGTCGGTAGATAAGCAATAAATAATGCATATCATTCCTGAGTTAGAAAGTTCATCCCTGGAGATATCAGACAAACTGATGTAACTTTACGTTTGTTTCACGTTTTGTTCAACCAGCACCGAGCCAGTTGTTGTATCGTCAATATTTTAAAGCGGCAATAACCTCCAAAAAGACTATGGACCTCTATTTCTTTTATCAGGCGTGCCCAACATATTTCAAAATTATGTCTACAATGTACTAATTCATTGCAGGTAACGTCTTCATTTCTGCTTCAGTCTTAGTTTGGTACAACACTATCTTGCTAAATTTCTCAAAATTGAGCACGTGGTTAGTCTCATAACCTCTGAAGGCAATGAACATGCAGGGAGACACGAAAATAACGCGGTGGGGTTTTGCTTGAACTAAAACATTTGACATCATTTATCAATACATATCATTGGATTATATTTTGCGATATGGCTTTCGACGAAACATGGAATGCCCCCCAAAAAGCAATTGGGTGGGAGCGTGAGAGACGCTCCGGCACTAGGAGAGGAAAATCCATGGACGTAAAACATGTAAAAAGGGAAGTTTTTGGTACAAGCTGCAACGCGCGCTGTCCCGGAGTCTCGGGCTGCTTACCTCGCATTATAACCACCTGCTAAGTTGGCGATGGCCAGCACTGGCGCCCGACGGCGAGCGTGGCCGGGACTGACCGCGGCGACCCCCCAGCCCATGGCTCGTGCGTGGCCTCGTCGAGGGACGGTGGATCGGTGCCATCGCTCCTTTCGGCCTCTGCTCGCGAATACTCCCGCTGCGGTCGAGCCCAGGCTCTTGCGACTGCGCGCCGGGTCCTCGGCTCCCCCAGCGGCAGCCGCCGAGTGCTTATGAACGCATGACCCTGCGATGCTGCACCGGAATTGATGACCATCCTGTTATTGGTGCAATGCGATGCCAAGTCGCATCGTTATCTGGGTGATAAGTATCTCTGGGGCAGTGCGGTTCAGGTTATTATCGTATGACCATCGGTAGCACGGGTAACGACTCTCGATGCAGATACTTTTCAGTAAATGTCCAAATGAAATCGGCACGACTGCCCCGCTCAAGGCGTCAGAAGGCTCAAGCCGTCGGCCCCGGCACGCCGGCACAGTAGCCCCCATTCACCGCTGCATACCGTCTCATGCGCCGACCTGTGCCCAGCGGCGCCCGCGGCGACCGAGGCGAGTCAGCCGAGGCTTACTGCTCACATGGCTATGGCTGATAAGTCTAAATTTGTTTCAACTGAATTCTTCCCCAACATGATGTTCTACCGGTTTGAGACTGGCGGCGGGTGGGAGGAATGAGGCCCTCCTGCCGCTGGCGCAAAGGACAGAGGGGTTGGTGGCAGATGATCGCCAGGAACAACCGTCGGGAACAGAGTTGGCCAAGCTGGAACTTCACTGGGACTTCTGCGATGGTGAAGCAGGAATGATAATTTTTGGGACAGCGAAAAAGAGTTCGAAACCCTGCGTACGTTGCTTATTCCTAATTTAATTTTCGTGAACAGAGAAGAATAAGCAGACTGCCAGGGTTATTCTATGATCAGCATTTATTTTGGTTTGTCTGTGCTTCATCACAGACCGGGTTGATCGAGTCAGGGCGGTTACAGGTGATGGTCTCAATTCATTTCAGCTGAATTGCTTATCCAGGACCACCAGTGACAGCTTCCGCCGCCAAGGCGGACCGGGGCAATAGGTGGGGTACAAATTATGTTTTTCAGCATGCCATAGTTACTTCGACGATTCTAGAGGGTCTGTTGTCACCTCTTCGGCTGCTCTGTTGTTGCCCCCCCCCCCCCCCCCCAAGGATACCAAGTGAAAGCAACTGACGTCTTGGTAAGATTCGTCAGCATAACAAGACAATTGTGTTAAAACTTCAAGCGCAGTGTTCTGCACAAGATGGTGTTCTAGAATTACGGTGCATTTGTACCAATACCTTTGAGGCACAACATCGCTGGTTTAGATGTCTGGTTACCAATCTACAGTGGCCGTGACCAGCTCAGGCCAGTGGCGTCATGTCTCCACTAGCAAACATGTCTTCTGTTTCAAGCCTTTGTTAGCCACGTACGCTGCGACGTTATGGGCTCAACTCACCGAACGTACAAGCAGCTGCGCTTGAGTTTCGAATATAATTGGACTTTTGCGGGCACAAATACAGCTACTAAACCCAACATACGTGACTAGCACACGTGGCCCTGCCTGTTCCAGAGAGCGCTTTGCCAAGTTATTGCTGAATGGTGTTTTTTCGTGGGTTGAAAAGCAGCCCAGTATTGCTCGGATATACACAACCTCGCATAAGCCCTGCACTGGCATCAGAGGCACTAGACGCCGTGTTTGATTTGGGCGTGATCGACATGATTGTTCTTCTCAGCAGCTGGTGCACCCACAAACTCAAATAAATAACTAACCAAGGAGATGCATTTTTACGTCACATGTAAATCAGAGATCACACTGCCTCATGAAGCCTGAAATAGCATGAATGACAACATGACCAGCCACCATTGCAAAACTGCGTTATAGAAACGTTAAACTTTGTCAATATCTCTCAAAGTACACGAGGAGGTCTTCAGCGCCCCAAATCGTCTAACTGTGATCATGACAAATTAGTTAGGTGATAGCAAAACTTGCTAGGTGTGGCCATTGCTTTCAGAGCAAGGGTATGACTTTCGCAATCGATTAGAAACTTTTATTATCATTACGTAATCCTCTTGAATTAGAAACGCTTGCGCATGAAAAAGATCGTTAGTCGAAGGAGAAAAAGAAGAAGAAAAAAAAAACAAAACCGCGAGCTCGTATGACATTTCTTGTGAATGCAGTATCAAGACTGGGGTCGTAAGGGATGCAACCCTCGGTGATTGTGTCTGACACACGTTCACCTCATAACCAATGTGCCATAGTCCACGAGATGGTTGCAAGAAATAACGTCAAGATCAGTATGAAATCAACCATCATAAGCACATAGCTCGTTATATGAAATGCAGGTCACCGTTAACTATGTTTAGGATCAGCTTATAGTTCTTGGTAAATCAAACGATGTGGGAATCCAAGCTCGAGAAAATATAACCTATTTCGGTATCGAGGTAATCGCCCACTGTGAATCCTTACATCCCCAGCTTGCGGCTATTCACTTTTTGCAATGCATGATTCTGAATAAAAAAACTGACCTACATGCCGCTTGAAATCTCTCATTAGATTCAGATAATTTTGAAAGAAATTTCCTCGAAAACACGGCCGATGAAGCTCACGACCTTTTACCTATCTTGAAGCAAAGGCTTCTGCCAGCCTCCCACAGCCCAGCATCCTATGAACACAGACGGCAGAATATGAAACGCACAGAGGCCTGGGGTACCCTTCTTTTAATGATCGAAAATCCACTTTTTCTTTCCACAGTAAGAGGGAAACATTTGAATCCAAAACTACCCCATTTTTTCCCCAAGAAGAAGAAAAATATTCTAAAATTACTTCCTAAGCATGCCTCCACTTACAATGCCCACAAGCTCTGTCAAATTTACACAACCAACAAATTGAAAAGCACAGAGCAGCCACGACGGCCTAATGATCTATCTATCATCAGTTTCCAAAGCATAGCAACATGCGAGCTGAAATAGTTGATTAAAGCCCCAGGGACGCCTCAAAATGGAGCAGATTCGCTTCCACATCTGGAAAGCTTTAGTAAATTAATCCATCTACACTTAAACCTGATATATCAAAGATTTTGGATATTTGGCACCAATTTACCAGGCAGCGTGCTTCTCTCCAAGCACCTAAAAAAAATATAAACTCTAAAACCTCTTCAAAACTGGCCCAATGACACATCTGCCTTGCTTTGTCTCAACGTGACGTCATCGAAACCTGCCAGGGTTTGCAAGGCCCGAATATCGAACGATCGCTCCCTTGACAGCGGCCGCTGGCACCGCCCGGCCGCGGGTGACGCGAGGCTTACCCAAGCGGTCACGACCGCGCATCGCCACCTGATCATGAACCGCCCGTCAGACAAAGTCGACACTTTCATCCCAGAACGAGCCCCTTCAACGTCACGGCTGACAGTGCTCGGTGACGTCACAGGGCCCGGCGAAATGAGGTTCGGAATGTTTGAATAGTGCTACAAGGCGCTGATGTCTCGTTTGCCACGGTCATTTGCTGGGATATGTTCCATCGCATGCATGCGATGGTGATCTTAATGTGTTTGGAGGGTCCTGCTGGATTGGATCATATCTGAGGGAACAGTTGTGTTCTCAGGGGCATTTTGATTCTTGTCATGCACCGCCATAGGCCTGACGACAAATTGGCTCAAATGTTGGAGTGCCCAGAACTCCACCCTGCAAATAGCTCCATAATTCATACGTCTATAAACGAACCCAGTTTTCGTTGTGGTTAATATCCTTTTGGCTATGGCAGCCTTTGATATATCTCTGGTGTACTATAAACATTTCAGATCAAGCGGCTAAGATTCCATAGGCACTCGTTTGCGATGCATATTGTTTTATTGCACCATTATAGGGACAATGCCGGGTGCTGCCGCGCATTAAGCGTGGTGGAAAGGTTAAATTTGGTTTGAATATTCCGCCCATTTGTGTGACAAATTTGCGGACGCTGGAACCCCTACCGCATCTTGCCTTAAGACGTCGTGAAAACGGCACTCTTTTGTAGGCCACCGTTGTTTGCTATCGTGCATCTACGAATGATTATCTTTTTGCCTAGAATTTATGCAAATGTTTCGGAAGGCAGAGACATTGGGGTCCGCCACTGTAGAGCATGCCTTGTTGAAAAGACCCCAACATCACCACCGTAGTGGAGCGACGCCGACAGCAGGGACTATGTTCACCCCGGTAGTTTTCCCAAACAGCACCGCAGATTCTGCGACAGTGCTATGCAGTGTGACGGCAGACCTGCGGCGGGCCCGAGTGTGTCGAGCTCTCTGAGCGACTACCAGTGCCTGTCAACGTCGGGTCACATCAAGACTGTTTATGATACGCCCGCCCGCACGTCCGACGCTCTGCAGTCAGCTGTCCGGTCCGCTGTCCGCTGAACCGCGAGGGCGGCTTGATTCGATGTTGCCGATTATGGACAGCAACCATTTGCAGTTTACTCCACATCGGTTCCCGAACCGTCAGCTGCTGTTCTACAGGCCCGCAATGCGGAGATGCATTGCGGAGCAGCATGTTTCAGGGGCCGGCAGGTTTGCCGTCGCTGCGGTGGCCGCTGCGGGTCCGACCCGAGAGCCGAGCTTCTTGCGCCGTCCCCTCGCCGTGCGACCTGTGCCGTTCACCTGCCGCTCGTCTCGGCAGGAGATGTGCCAGAGGGGCGCGCCGCGCTGCGAGCGGGAGAGCGTCTGATCCGAGGCTGACGCCGGCAGGAAGCGGTGCCACAACGCAGCATGACGGCCGACGGCGACACGGCCGGCCCAGGCCGCCCGCTCCCTGGTCCTCCTCGTGCTGCTGTTCTCCTGTACAGGTGAGCGCCGTGCCACCGGCCGCCAAGCATCACCAAGCCACCGATCAGTTAGCTTCTGACTTACCGGACTGGCGTGCCTGGTGAATACTCGAAGAGAATCAGAAAGTGCTTCCTTGTCATGGGAAATGTGTGCAACGGTTATCACATTCCGACTTTGAACAACGGTGAAATGCATGCGCTTCTTGCAGCCCTGGTTTTACATGACAATATGTAATTTGAGCTTCTGGCGTGAGCTTCATCGCTGTTTTGTGCCTGGATATTCGTAATTGGTTCTATGTTCGGTTTTTTGATATCATGCCCATGATGACTCTCATTATTAATTTATGTAAGTCATCAACGCATTATGTACTCAAGCGTGATATTCTCTCGTAAGTGATCTTTCGGATGCATACATCCCAGCTTTTCTGTCCTGAGCTTTTCTGTCTCAGTCCCGGAGTCACATTTCTAAATCTCCTTGACTGTGAGTTTCCTTGTCTGGGACATTTCCTGTGACTGATTACAATGCTACTATGTATAGAAAAATTCCCAAAACTAATACCAATGGCTGCATTACCAATATTCTGAGACCAGAGAAAGCCCCAGCTGAGCATTAGCTGCTGTACGCAGTTCTTCCTAGGAGCCGGCGCTTAAGTCTACCGGATGGTCACTAAACGAATTGTGTCCAACCACCTGAAGGGCACAGGATCCAGCTATTAACTCTGTCAATAAATCTGTATTTGATTCCATTACGAACCACCCAGCCCCCAAGTCCCGTGCCTCTTTTAGCGCAGCTCCTCGCCGCAGGTGGGCAGAGACCAGATTAGTGCCCAGGTGGCTCGGTTCCGTCGCAGGCATCCCTCGACGCCGCCGCAGACGGGCTGCCTGCCAAAGTCGTGGGACGGTTTGGTCGGCCGTGGAGGTCTGGATGGTCGATAGCGCATCGGAATTCCTGGCTGCCCTCTGTCCGGAATCCGGCGTCACTCAGGACAGACACACGCTCCGGGCACTGGACGCACGCTCCGGGCATCGGATACACGATCCGGGCATCGGACATACGCTCCGGACACCAGACATGCGCTCTGGACACCAAACACAAGCTCTGGACACCAAACATACGCTCCGGACACCAGGCACACACTCTGGCATCAGGCAAGCAAAGCAGAGCTGCTCGGGTGCTGCTCCTGAGGTCACACTTGACCTTCACGTATCTTCCAGATGTGGGAATAGGTAGGCAGGTGTAGCATTTGCACGGAAGGAGTACGACTGCATTTGGCAAATTTGGGCTTCCAGTTCCTTTGAGCATCGGCTTTGCAATGTATGCCCATTTTGAAACCAGACCTGTTTTTTTCCTGGTCATGCTTAAGAGAAACCCATGAACATGCTCGTAATGTCAGCACTGCCCATCAGCTTGTGGCCAATAAACTGACGTGGGCCACATACGGGCTCTGGTACTTTGTAATCTGGAGGGCACAGGTCTTTTTGACCGAACTACAACGTGTTTATCGTCTCCCGCCACCGTCACATCAGCTCACAGTATCACGAGTTTTTGGCTCGACCCAGTCAGCCGTCGTCGGCCAGGATATCACATATTTTCAAGCACGCCCTCTGGTGCCGAAAGTACCGAGGGTCCATCGTCTAGACCATCAGCGCGGTCGAATGTGCAGTCGGCCCCCTCACATCGCATTACGCCATTATTGACGTGGCGATGGGGTTAGGTGGGTGAGTCGCCAGCGCCAATGACGCAGCGCTTCGGCGAACTCCGCGAGCCTTCCAGCAACAGGCCGTAGGTACCCGTCACACCACGACTTAATGCGGCGACCAGCTGATACCTTATCAATCGCAGCCTACTCTCTCTCTCTCTCTCTCTCTCTCTCTCTCTCTCTCTCTCTCTCTCTCTCTTCTCTCTCTCTCTCTCTCTTCTCCTCTCTCTCTCTCTCTCTCTCTCTCTCTCTCTCTCTCTCTCTCTCTCTCTCTCTCTCTCTCTCTCTCTCTCTCTCTCTCTCTCTCTCTCTCTCTCTCTCTCTCTCTTCTCTCTCTCTCTCTCTCTCTCTCCTCTCTCTCTCTCGCTCTCTCTCTCTCTCTCTCTCTCTCTCTCTCTCTCTCTCTCTCTCTCTCTCCTCTCCTCTCTCTTCTTCTCTCTCTCTCTCTCTCTCTCTCTCCTCTCTCTCCTCTCTCTTCTCTCTCTCTCTCTCTCTCTTCTATATATATATAATATATATATATATATATATATATATATATATACCATATAACCTCCATCTACGAGCTTGAAGGAGATCATAGATCTAGATCAATACATTCCTTATGAACATTGGACTCAGGTGCGTCGACAATGTATCATCGCCAAGGAAATGGATCGGCACTCATCCTTAGCTATCAGCTACCTCGTCATTGAGCAAAGATCTTGACTTTCACCCGATAGGCCCCAATATCAGACAGAGCATCCCCTCCTCCGCGACACCATACTCTTTGTCATCACGCCTCTCACCCAACACATGTGGGGTGCTCCAGTTACACCCAGGCGTCTTGCTGTTGTCCAAGACTTTTGGTTTTAGTCTAGGCTCCTAATGGAGCCGGTTTCGGCATTCCAGTGAGGCTTCCGTCCCAGGTCTCCAGTGCAGCGGTCTTCCCTCCGTCCCAGGTCCTCGGTGTTGCAGCCTTTCGTCCCAGGTGTCCAGCGCAGCAGTCTCGATGTCCTTCCCTCTCCGTGTCGTTCGGCCCGCGACCGGGGCCGCAGTCCGGGGTTCCATGACCTCAGGCGCCGCCGGCTGTCCAGCTGTTGACATCCGCGGCAATCATGCTGGCCAGCCATTTTCGGTGACCGTAATAATGTGTTTGCTTGGTCACTGAGCTCGGCACCAGCTGCCCCTGCGTGTCCCCGCCTACCAAAACAGGTGGTCATGCCCGATAAGTGGTTGGCTTTGATTCCTCATGCCGCTTTATCATCTAGGACTTTTGAATATTTTATGAACAAGGCACATAAATCCTTTATTGTCCTTTGTTTTATTTTGTGAACATTCTTTCCCTTCTGCAATCGCATTCATATTTATTTCTCTCTGCTTCTCCTTGCAACTTGACCACGCCCTGTTCGTCAGCTCCATCTTCCTCTGCCACATTAAAGAAGCACCTGCGTGTCCGTCAGCTCTCCCGTATTTATCCCCATTCTTCCCTGTCTATGTTGATCTGCACGGCTAACCTTTTTCTCTGCCGACAACCCACTCCCATTACTCGCCGCACGCCCCACCCTTCGATCGCCGGCAAGTCCGGGTGAGCCCGGCCGCCGCCCCCGTATCGGCACTCCTATGTCGAGATTTCCCGCGCTGATCGCAACGGGTGGAGGAGCCGGAGCTCCCACCAAGCCTCCACTGGCTCTGTATGCCGGCCTGGGTATGACAGACGAGACACTGCGGGCCAAGTTAGCCGGCGCGGAGCTTCCGGTCCGTGGGCGGTGACAGGCGAGGGGAGGGGGTGGGGTGGGTGGGTGGGAGGGGCGGGGAGGCGACCCGGACAGACGAGCAGTCGTCGTCGCGCTCGCACCGCGTCATCACTCCGTGGACCGCATCACGCCGCTCGCCTTGTAGTGAATAAAACATAAACTCCGCAAGCGCCGCTCCCGCGCGGGGGACGGCGCCGGATAAGCACGAGCGTGGCGGGTCTTAGAAACACTCTGCCTGAGGTGAACCCACATTGCAATTCATATGCGAGGCGTCCGTTTACGTGCGGTGCAGCTCAAAGGAGAAAGTGCGCGCTGCTATTTCTCCTGAGTGGAAGTATGGCTGGGCTGCCTGATATGCCCCGCCGCTAGCCCCCTCACCCGATGTCTATCAGCGTAGCGATGTCAGCGTCCCGCCGTCGTCGGACTCGGCATTACGACATCATTAGCGTCCATATCAGTCTGACCTCAGTGGGCGGGGCTCGCCCTCCAGCGGACGTTGACCGCGGGGATCGCCCCCGACGCTCCTCAGCCGGCCCGCGCGACACGCCGTCAGAGGAGCGTCCGACACCCGTCCGGCAGTGTCACTGACACCGTTCGGTCGTCAGTTCAGCCGACAGCAGCCAGCACCCGTCCGGCAGTGTCACTGACACCGTTCGGTCGTCATTTGAGCGGGCAGCAGCCGGCGGGCCCGCAGTCTCCCGATCGATCCGCCAGCGCGGCGCGCATCGCCAGCCCGAACGCCTCTCGGGCAGCGAGGCGGTGGATACGACCGCTCGCAGAGGGCGAAGTTGGGTGCGACCGCTCGGAGAAGGGTGACTTGGACGGCACCGCTTGGAGATGGGTGTTTTGGACACCACCGCTTGACTTGGATACGACCGGTCGGCGATGGGCGACTTGGATACGACCACCCGCAGCTGAGTGGCATACATCGGGGGACGGATACGACCACTTCGGGCGGTGTGTCTCGCACCAGAACTCAGCCATTCACAGATGGTCTTGAACAAACTGCACAGGGGCGGTGCGGACGCGACAGTTCAGGGGCGCGGGGGGGGGGACTGTCCATGACTGCTTCCGCTCAACAGAAGAGGTGACATGGACACGGCCGTCTATGGTCAGTTGACCCGACCGCAGCCCCCCAGTGGGGGACGACCCGGATGACACCACCTAGTGGGATGTGTCCGAGGAATAACCGGCGGATGGCCCTGACCCTATGCTAGGACTCGGAGCGGCCCATCTGTTGGGCGGCGCATCCGAGCCCTCCCGCGAGGCTCATTGTTCCCGGGTTGTGCCGGTGATCCGGTGGGGACCAGGAGCGCCCGCCTCTGGACGGAGGCGCCGAACAGACAACCCAGTGACGTCGGCGCCCTTGTTCTGATGATGCAGCACTGGCGTCACGCGCGTTGCAACGGAACATTGATGTTTGACATCTTGTATTGGCTTGATAGCAGGAGTGGCAATTATCCGTGAATATCTTTCGACGCCGACAATGAGGTGCAATTCTTTGCTGCAGCAATGGTCTCGCGGTCATCAGCATCATTCATGTTGATGGTACGCCATACATGAACAAAGACCTGCGTTCAGAGTT